CACACACCCCACACACAACACACACACACACACAAAAACAAACACACAAAACACACCACACACAAACCACCCACCACACACACACACACACCCCAACCCACACCACACACCACCACAACACCACACAACACACACACCACACAGACACAACACACACACAACGACACACAACACCCACCCACACACCACCACCCACACACCACACCCACACCACACACACACCACACCTAATCAACAACACACCCCACACACACACACACCACCCACCCCACGACCCCTCACACACACACCACTCACACACCACACAACACCACCAACACACAACACAAAACACACCACACCCACACGCCCCCACAACACACCACACACCCACACACACACGCCACACCACCGCCCACACACCCACACCACCACACCCACCACACACACATACACCACCACCACACACCCCACCCACACAACACCACCCACACACACCCACACCACACCACCACAACCACACAAAACACCACACACACCCACACACCACACAACACACCACACACCCCACACACACACACACACACACACACACACACACACGGGACGGGAAATCCTGTTGTCACCAACCTACTTGAGTTCTATGACATGGTGACCAGCAGTAAGAACAAGGACGAAGAGGGGTGGGTGGATTGCATTTTCTTTGGACTGCAAGAAGGCGTTAGACAACGGTTCAACCAAGAGGGATTGGTGTCAAAAACTGTGAGGGGACCAAGCAGGGGATAAACAGGGGAAGGCACTACAATGGATCAGGGAATACATTGTCAGGAAGACATGCAGCGAAGTCATGGTACGTGGCGAGGTTTCAGAGTGGGCACTCTGTGCTCTGACAGCGGGGTCCCGCAGGGGTCCAGTCCTAGGACAGTGCTGTTTCTGGTATTTGTGAACGGACATGACGGGAAGCATAGACTCTGAGGTGGTCCTGTTTGCAGATGAGTGAATTGATGCGAAGAATAACTCGATCGAAAGAACCAGGCAAGAACTACAAAGGGATCTGGACAGGTGCAGAAAACTGGTCCCAGCAATTGGCTCCTGGAGTTCAATCCACAAGTTGCAAGTTCATGAAGATTGGGGACGGGCAAAGAAGGCGCGCCGGAGTACGTCTAGGGGGGTCAGAGACTACAAACTCACGCAAGGAAAAAGATCTTTGGGAGTGAGTATAACAGACCACGGCATAATCTCCTGAAGCGCACTCATCAACAAATAAACTGCTGCAGGCATATGGGCGCCTAGCAAACCTCCAGAGTCAGCATTAGAAATCTTTAAATAAGGAATCGTTAAGGGGACCCTTGTACACCGTATCGTTAGGCCATATTGGAGTATGCTGCACCAGTTTGTGACCCACACCTAGCCAAGCACGTAAAGAAACTAGGGGTGAGAAAGTGCAAAGGTTTGCAACAGTCTTTGTACCAGAGCTAAGGAGGTTATGTCCTACGAGGAGAGGTTAAGGGAAATCCCTGACGACTCTGGAGGAACAGGAGGAGATAGGGGGGACATGGATAACAAAATACAAAATACTGAAGAGGAATTGACCAACGGTGGACAAAGCAGGATGGTTCCAGAGATTGGACACTGTAACAAGGTGGACACAGTTGGAAGCTAAAGACACCGAAGAATCACTGGGATGTTAGGAAGTATTTCTTCAGCCCAGAGTTGTCAGAAGTGGAATAGTTTGGGACGCGATGCTAGAGGAGGGCAGGATCCATCATGCTTTAAGCAGAGGTATGATAAAGCCACGGCTTCGGGGGAGAGTGACTAAGTAGCGAACAGTGAAGAGGCGGGGCCAGTAGCAGGATCGACCCCCGCACCTAACTAGGTGGAGTACAACTAGGTGAGTACACCACACCACACCCCCCACACCCAACCAACCCCCCCCCCCACCCACCACCCACACCACCCCCACAACCCACACACCACACACACACACACACACACCCACACCACCACCCCCAACACCTACACACACTCAGACACCACACACACGACACACACTCACACACACACACACCCACACCCACCCCCCCACACCACACCACCCCACACACACACACCCACACACCACACACACACACACCACACGACACACACACACCACAACACACCACACCACACACACAACACCACACACACACACACACACACACACCCACACACCCACCCACACCCCCCACAACACCACAACCCAACACCACCACCCACCCCCACACTCCCACCACCACACAACACCACCCACGACACCCACACACCAACAACCCACAACACACACCACACACACCACACACACACACACACACCACACACAACACACACACACACAACCACACACACACAACACACACACCACACACCACACACCACACACAACACACACACACAACACACACACACACTACAACACACCCACACACACACACCACACACCCACACACACCCCACACACACACACACACACACAACACCACACACACATAAAAACTCACACACAAAACACACACCACCACACACACCGACACACACCACACCCCCACTACACACACAACACACACACCCACACCACAACCAACACACCACACACACAAACACACACAACACACACACACACTCACAACACACCCCACCACCATACACACCACACACACCCACCACCCACAACCACACACACACAAACAACACACACACAACACACACACACAACACCACACACACCCACACACACACACACACACACACACACACACGGCACTCACACACCCACACCATACACACACACACACACACACACCACACACACACCACACACACACACACACACACACACACACACACACTCAACCCTCCACACACACACACACACTCACACACACACACCACCACACACACCACACACACACCACAACGACCACCCCACACACCCTCACACACACACCACACACACAACACACACTCACAAAACACACACAACACACACACACACACACCACACAGCACCACACACACACACACACCACCACACACCCACAACACACACACCGTCCCTCACACCCCATACACACACACAACTGTACACACAGATGCCAGAATAACCTTGACATTTGGTCCAAGTCAGTTATAATTACTGGAGTTTACTTCCTTAACACTACAAAATTAACGTCACTGTCGTTCATATATTCTGATTTAATACCATCATTTATCTTGTTTTCCTATATAGTTGTTCTAATAATTAAACTAGCTTATGCTGTAGCTGACTTGCACCTACCTTTGCATGGGCGTACGGGCCGTGGGACCTTGTTGCAAAAAATGTAACAATCGATCGGAGCACGTATAAGTGGACCTGGACTAATATTTATCCTGTCTTATAGTATCAGGCGTGACCTGAAAATAGAAGGAACACTTTAATCTACATCATTTTGCTTCACAGTCTTGTTCAGAGGTGTGCCACTACACTACAGTTATAAAACTGCACATTACATACCTTCTTTCCAGAGTGCGACCGACTGGGTATTTTTCTATCTCAGGACGCTTCAAGTCCAGCTACAGTTCTCCTGAATTGCCTTCATAATGTTACCTTGCTCATACTCCAAACAGCATGTCAAAGTCATAAAAGCCATTTGGCTCACTTAACTCTACATAAAATGCTCACGCTTACGTATTTGTTTACTTTGTTATAATTGTGTATGTAACTTATGTGGGCTGGTGCCTAAATTAATAAACTTAGTGTCTTAGCATTACTTGCTTAACATCTTTTCACACACCGCCGTATCCCACCCTGAGGTGCGGTGGCCAAAAGGAAAAATTGAACGTTTCTCTTTAACATGGCGTCCAACAATATTACAGTACTCAGAAAGCCTATTTAAAATGAGAATCAGATTTTGAACAAGCTAATGTTTTCACTGCACTTGCTTTTATAAATCCACGGTGCCCCGTGGCCTGGTGGCATAAGCTCCCGCTTCACATGGTGAGGGGTCCGGGTTTGATTCCCAGCGATTGTGGAAACATTGGGCGTATTTGCTTACTTGTTGTCCCTGTTCACCCATCAGTAAGATGGGTACCTGGGTGTTAGTGGACTGGTGTGGGTTACATCCTGGGACAAAATTGACCTAATTTGCAGGAAATGTTCAGCATAACAAGGAGCTTTCTATATTAGTAGTATGTCACTGATGTCAGCTATGGTCTGTATACCTTGTACATGTACCTGTAGAAATAATTATTATATTATTAAATGATTTAATACATTATTTTCGCATAATAGACCAATATTGTTAACCACATTTGTTTTTCAAAATTTCCATAATTACTGTATAGATGGTATGCATGTAACCCCCACATGGGAGAAAGAAATTTTCGATGATGGTTCGATTATTAACTGGTCTGTGGGTAGTTAATGGTCCAAGTCGGGCCAAAATGCTGTAGTATTAAGTTTCTCTCTCCTTTGGGCGGGTTACAGTGAGCCATCGACTTAGACATATTGAGAATCTTCTGTATTGTGTATATTATTATTATATTACCTGGAGTTAACCTGGGGAGGGTTTTGGGAGTCAACGTCCCCGCAGCTTTGTCTGAGACCAGGTCTCATGGTGGATCAGGGTCTGATCAACCAGGATGTTACTGCTGGCCGCACACAAGCTGACGTATGAACCACATCCCGGTTGGTCAGGTATTGACTTTAGGTGCCTGTCCAGTGCCTTCTTAAAGACTGCCAGGGGTTTAATGGTAATACCCCTTATGTATGCTGGGAGGCAGTTGAGCAGTCTTGGCCCCCAGACATTTATTGTGTTGTCTCTGTGTATAATAATTGTGTATAATATCATTATTATATCATTACGTATTGTGTATAATATTACACACAATTCAGGTCCTCGTTGTGTTTGTAAGTCGAGGACTTACTGTATTTGTGTATTAAATCACTGTATTGCAACTTTTATTCTTTATGCAGACTGACTATTTTGTGTTTGTCTGGGCAGCACGTGCATGAGACGATGAATATCAACATGGCCGAAGACGAGCGCATGTCTCCCGATCTACTGGGCAGCATAGACCCTCACCAGTCACACTCACCATCGCCCGAGGAGCCCCGAGACCTTAGCATTAAACGCAAGGTGGGTCCCCAAGTGTCGTCAGCAGGGAGCAACACGCTTGAAAATAGAAAAACTCGCGAAATAACAATAACACGATTGCAAACCAATCAGGTTATGGGTGGTGTTAGACCCCATGGTGAGTGAGTTATAATTCTCAGAAGCCAGTGTGTTAACCACTGGCTACAATAAGATTCATCCATCTACGTATATTTATACATCATAGGGAAGTTAGCATAGGCCACCACTGTGGTAAATGCTAGTTTTTACAGGTGAATCCCTCAGCAGTATGACTGAAGGTTGGCGGCCTGTGCTAACCTCCCTATGGTGTATAAATATACTGTACCTACTTGACTGAATCTTATTGTAGCCAGCTGGTCCAATGGTTAACACACTGGCCTGTGAGTTTTATGACTCGATTGCCCTGGGTTCTAACCTCACACGTTCCATGATTTAATAAGACACATGCACAACACTTGGGTATCTGTATTGATAAAATGTTTCACCTTTTCAGCTGGCCATCTTCAGTTGAATACAGGTGAATGTAGACTGGAGACAGTGGAGGAAGTAGTCTTAAGGTGATCAGTTCCTCAGTCTTGATGAACCTATTAAATACAGTGAAAGACATGTAGTTTGACCCCTGCACTGTATGACCTCTGTGGGTTTAGTGCCTCTTTATGAGGAAAATCATTTTGACTTGCTTAGGTATGTCTGGAGACTTTTGCTTGGTCCTCTTGTCTGCCCCTTTTTGACATTACTTTTAACTTGGGCAGATGCGTCCAGTTCCGCCTCCGTTGGACCTGAGCAAGCGGAATTTGGAGCCAGAGGCCATGATTCCAGAGTTTGCAGCCATCACTACAACCAGTCCTAAATCACCACTCACACAGAAGAACTTGCCATTAAGAAAGAGGTAAGAAAAGTAACTAATACATGAACCTGCACTTAAGAGGTAAGAATAGTTACTATTTACAAAAGAATAGTTACATTCCAGTAATCTAACCTTGTATAATAATAATAATGATATGTGCAGTTTTGAACTGTAGTAACAGTGCCCATTTTGCAAGACAGTGATGGAGTGAGCGATGCTGAGTGTTTCTTCTTTTTCGGATCATCCTGCCTCTTTCTACTACCACTGTTACTTCTACAAGCATTATCACTACCACTACTACTTTTTCTCCCTCTTTCTCCTGTTCCTGTGCTCCTCGCCTATATATACTGGCTCCCTCACTCTCTTCTGTCAGTTTGACTTTGTAAATGGTCTATGTTGGATCAAAACATCGTCATAAGCTTCTCTCTCTTATGTGCGAGTTATTTGTGTATGGTTTGGTGTATCTTTTCAGAGCTCACAGCTGGTCGTTTCAGTTAGAGGCACAAGGTCTGCAGCTGCCTGCGACAACAACAACACCAGGAGTGATCCGATCAACAGCTGAAGTGCGAGAGCAGCACACAGGTATACCCTCATCCTCATCTTCCTCTTCATCCTCATCACTAAGGATCCCCGGCTTGCCCACGCCTCATACACCACATACTCCTCATCCTCATTCTGCGATTCCAGTAATTACCAGCAGATTTCCCTTTAGCGAGGGAAATTCCAATGGCTCGTCCTTTGGTGCGGGGGACATGTCTGTGGGTGCCCAGGGCCCCTTAAATTTATCTACGGCGGCCATGGGGTGTTTACCTTCCTCTCTACTGTCTCCAGCGCCATCGCATCCATCCACATCGTCCCTCAACTCCTCCAGAGAAGAATTGGAAAACGAGGGGATGATAGCGGACTGCCACGTGTCTTATTCCCACGTGCCTTCTCCACACGTACCCTCGCCGCATCACGTGTCTCCACACTTGCCGTCCCCCCATCTTCAAGGCGTCCCCATGGGGCCACAAGGCCTTGGCGGACACGGACACACAGACAGACTGGGCACGGGGTCATCCCCGTGTCCATCCTCAATCTCCCCTCAACCAACATCAGGTCATCAGTGGCCCACAAACGTATGGTCTGTGTTCATGTCGGGCGTGCGTGTCCACTTTGTTCTGGGTGGAGGTGGCCAGGTAACGGGGGCGAGGTTGAGCGAGGAGCTTGGCCAGCTGGAACGCACTCACCAACAGAGGTACGCACCCCACGGCTTGCACCTCATGCGTATTCTTCGTGAGGGTTCGTCGTCACACATGTCCGCTCCCAGCTACTGCCAGCTCTACTTTCGACCAGTCATGGTACAGCAGGAAGACATCATGGTAGTCACACCGCCAGATCATCCATTCTATGTACATGGCAAAGGTCAGTCCTGAGTGGTGTATGTGTTGTTGTAAAGATTAAGTCTTAGCTCCTACCTCTGCATCTCTACCTAAGGTGTGTTTGTGTGTGTGTGAGAGAGAGAGAGACACCTATCAGTCCAGGTGCTTAAATAGTTAGATATTCTCTCCAAGATACGATACTACGTACCCCAGACAATACTACCTACACTGTGCCACTCTAAAAATATTTGTGCCTGGGGACTCTACCATGACCAGTCACATTAAACCATTAATAACCCAACAAAATCTGCAGGACAGATGATCATCCATTCCTGTGCCAGTAAACTCTTTCCCCAGTCTTCAATAGTTTAACCTTAATATACAGAATATACATTCATATTACTGTGGCTGTTATATATACAGTGTGAGCAGAGTAATATTTAGTGAAGGGATTTAAGGAAACCGGTTAGTTGGACTTGAGTCCTGGAAATGGTAAGTACAATGCCTGCACTTTAAAGGAGGGGTTTGGGATATTGACAGTTTGGAGGGACTTCTGAACTGTTGTATCTGAGTGCCTCAGTAAAGACAGTGATTATGTATGAGTGAGGTGAAGTTGTTGAATGATGAAAGTATTTTCTTTTTGGGGATTTTTTTTCTTTTTAGGTCACCCTGCCTTGGTGGGAGACGGCTGACGTGTTAAAAAAAAAAAAAATTATGTAGTGTATATGTAGTAGGTTGGTAGACAGCAACCGCCCAGGGAGGTACTACCGTCCTGCCAAGTGAGTGTAAAATGAAAGACTGCAATTGTTTTACATCATGGTAGTATTGCTGGTGTCTTTTGTCTGTTTCATAAACATTCAATATTTTAGGTACGTTATGCTACTACTTCTTACACTTAGGTCACACTACACATACATTTACAAGCATATATATACACACCCCTCTGGGTTTTCTGCTATTTTCTTTCTAGTTCTTGTTCTTGTTTATTTCCTCTTACCTCCATGGGGAAGTGGAACAGAATTCTTCCTCCGTAAGCCATGCGTGTTGTAAGAGGCGACTAAAATGCCGGGAGCAAGGGGATAGTAACTCCTTCTCCTGTATAAATTACTAAATTTGAAAAGAGGAACTTGCGTTTTTCTTTTTGGGCCACCCCGCCTTGGTGGGATACGGCCAGTTTGTTGAAAGAAAGAAGTATGTATATATAACAAACTCCAACATAAACCCTTCCCTCAGACTTCTTGAGAGCCACAACAGAACACACAGGCACAACACCAGACACAAAACTCACTCTGACTTACCCTGTGTCCGCCTCACTATGTGCATAAAACTCGCTGTACATAATAGGTCCTAAGATCTGGAATTTATTGTCTGCTAACAAATTTAGAGCTAATGTTAAAAAGCACCTCATTGCACTTACTTAACTAAACCAACATTGTTGAGAGACCAAACAAAACCAGCTCATCCAACTCTCACTGTTCTTCCAGTTCTTTCCCTAACAACCATAGAAAATGAATCACTCATCTTGTTCCATTATATCTATTGTAACTGCCTGTATGTTTACCATCTCTTTCATTCGTCCCATAAACAGAAGACTTAAGTCAGTTTGACACTGCTTAAGAAGTCCCACTTAACTGAAGATCACTAAATCAGTTTGAAACATTAATGCATACTTAAAATTGTACTGTTATTCACTTAGCTGCCTCTTGTTTTGTAAATTTAAAACCACCTACTTAATAATCCATGTTTAGTTCTTAAGTACTTAGTAAACATTAGTACGAGTCTGCCTGAAATGCACCATATGTTAGTGTCTTTCTTCTGTGCTTAATATTTTATTACGTGTAAAGTACATTATCTGTATACTGCAGAAAAGAAATGATCACAGCTGTTTCCTATGAAGTTAGGTTGACCCAAAAAAGAAAGCACATTCTTCATTGTTCATTCAGTAGTTGTCCTGCCAGAAGTACGAAGATATGTATAAATGACCTTCTGAACCATAAGATTCCTATCCAGCCTTCAGAGTGCAAGCACTGTACTTCCCACCTCCAGAACTGTAATATCCTCACCCATCCTTCAGAGTACAGGCACTGTACTTCCCACCTCCAGAACTGTAATATCCTCACCCATCCTTCAGAGTACAGGCACTGTACTTCCCACCTCCAGAACTGTAATATCCTCACCCATCCTTCAGAGTACAGGCACTGTACTTCCCACCTCCAGAACTGTAATATCCTCACCCATCCTTCAGAGTACAGGCACTGTACTTCCCACCTCCAGAACTGTAACATCAACACTCATCCTTCAGAGTACAGGCACTGTACTTCCCACCTCCAGAACTGTAACATCCTCACCCATCCTTCAGAGTATAGGCACTGTACTTCCCACCTCCAGAACTGTAACATCCTCACCCATCCTTCAGAGTACAGGCACTGTACTTCCCACCTCCAGAACTCAAATCCAGCAGACCAATTTCCTAAAAAAAACCTTTCATGATTTATCTTAGAGCAAATCTTAAAAACTATTGTTTTACATCTACTTGTGTATATTTAAGGTTGGTGCAGCGTGTTCCCTGAAAGAGCCACTGAGCGGTATAGCCTTCCGTGCCAGCAACTCCAGGAGGGGGACGTGTGTCTTCCGCCCTACCATCCAGAAACCACGCAGACGCCCATTCCTGTCGTCACACCGGATCTTGCTGACGCCATGAAGAGGTTCGAGTACTCACCTGTTTGTGGTTGCAGGGATTGAGTCACAGCTCCTGGCCCTGCCCTGTGTGTGTGCACTTATGTATGGATGGTTGCAAGGGTTGAGTCTGTGCTCTTGGCTCTGGATCTCAACTTGATGTCAGGTCTTGTACTTGTATGGCAGCTTCTCATTGCTCACTGTCAGGTCTTGTACCTGTATGGCAGCTTCTCATTGCTCAACGTTCACATTTAATATTTAAGAATGAATGAACATTTTTTAAAGCTGAATTTTTCAATTGTATTTCAAGTCCTTTTTATGAATTGTATTTTAAAATGGTTTTTTGAATAGTATTTTTTTTTAATGTGTATTCTACCCCATTTCAGATTTGACTTCAACGATGACCCAGCAGAGGGGGGTCCAGGAGCCTACTCTGCACCCCCCAGTGCAACTTTTCCACCGCACACGCAACGCACAATCTTCCTCTCTCCACCCGCGTCGCCCTCGAAGAAGAGTCGAGACGGACGTGGTGGAGGTGGAGGGGCCATAGGCATCGAGGGCGGGGGGAACCGTGCCCGGCGACCGATGAACGGATTCATGCTTTTCGCCAAGCACCACAGACTCAAACTTATCCAGCAGTACCCTGGCAAAGATAACAGGTAATGTACTCACCTGTATGTACTCATATGTACAGGTGTTCCTCAACTTACGATGGTTCGACTTGTGGTGGTTTGACCTGTGATGGTCCAACTTACGATGGTTTCGACTTCTGATGGCCCGACTTAGGATGATTCAACTGTCGATGGTTCGACTTTCCATATTTCAACTTTACGCTGGTGTGGCAGCAATTATTTATATTCATTTACGTATTTACTTTTCAATACTGGTATTTAGTTACAGTATAATTATTTGTTTATTTACTTATTCAGATATATATTTAGCACATATTCATATTCGACATGATATTTTCGATTTACGATATTCTGAACTTCTAATTATCATACACAAAAAACCCGCACATAAAAGACAGAAGCTTACGACGACGTTTCGGTCCGACTTGGACCATTGACAAAGTCACACTTTTATGTGCGGGTTTTTTGTGTATCGTTCCAGTCACGGTATTGTGCCTTTTTGTTATTTATTTCTAATTATCATATATGATAAGTGGAAAGTGGGTGCGGGAGGGAAGAGGAGCGATTGGTGGAATGATGATGTAAAGAGAGTGGTAAGGGAGAAAAAGTTAGCATATGAGAAGTTTTTACAAAGTAGAAGTGATGCAAGGAGGGAAGAGTATATGGAGAAAAAGAGAGAGGTTAAGAGAGTGGTGAAGCAATGTAAAAAGAGAGCAAATGAGAGAGTGGGTGAGATGTTATCAACAAATTTTGTTGAAAATAAGAAAAAGTTTTGGAGTGAGATTAACAAGTTAAGAAAGCCTAGAGAACAAATGGATTTGTCAGTTAAAAATAGGAGAGGAGAGTTATTAAATGGAGAGTTAGAGGTATTGGGAAGATGGAGGGAATATTTTGAGGAATTGTTAAATGTTGATGAAGATAGGGAAGCTGTGATTTCGTGTATAGGACAAGGAGGAATAACATCTTGTAGGAGTGAGGAAGAGCCAGTTGTGAGTGTGGGGGAAGTTCGTGAGGCAGTAGGTAAAATGAAAGGGGGTAAGGCAGCCAGGATTGATGGGATAAAGATAGAAATGTTAAAAGCAGGTGGGGATATAGTTTTGGAGTGGTTGGTGCAATTAGGGATTGGCAGAGAGCATGCATAGTTCCTTTGTATAAAGGCAAAGGGGATAAAAGAGAGTGCAAAAATTATAGGGGGATAAGTCTGCTGAGTATACCTGGTAAAGTGTATGGTAGAGTTATTATTGAAAGAATTAAGAGTAAGATGGAGAATAGGATAGCAGATGAACAAGGAGGCTTTAGGAAAGGTAGGGGGTGTGTGGACCAGGTGTTTACAGTGAAACATATAAGTGAACAGTATTTAGATAAGGCTAAAGAGGTCTTTGTGGCATTTATGGATTTGGAAAAGGCGTATGACAAGGTGGATAGGGGGGCAATGTGGCAGATGTTGCAAGTCTATGGTGTAGGAGGTAGGTTACTGAAAGCAGTGAAGAGTTTTTATGAGGATAGTGAGGCTCAAGTTAGAGTATGTAGGAAAGAGGGAAATTTTTTCCCAGTAAAAGTAGGCCTTAGACAAGGATGTGTGATGTCACCGTGGTTGTTTAATATATTTATAGATGGGGTTGTAAGAGAAGTAAATGCGAGGGTCTTGGCAAGAGGCGTGGAGTTAAAAGATAAAGAATCACACACAAGGTGGGAGTTGTCACAGCTGCTCTTTGCTGATGACACTGTGCTCTTGGGAGATTCTGAAGAGAAGTTGCAGAGATTGGTGGATGAATTTGGTAGGGTGTGCAAAAGAAGAAAATTAAAGGTGAATACAGGAAAGAGTAAGGTTATGAGGATAACAAAAAGATTAGGTGATGAAAGATTGGATATCAGATTGGAGGGAGAGAGTATGGAGGAGGTGAAGCACGCTCAATGTTTCTATCCTCACAAAAACACTTGGAATTTCACTATTTTTTCACAGTGGTTATTATGAATACTGTGATATCACTTTTTTACCGTGACCTTAGCGCATATGTTACTATATATGATAATGGGAGATGGGAGATGGGAAGTACAGTGCCTGCACTCTGAAGGAGGGGTGTTAATGTTGCAGTTTAAAAACTGTAGTGTAAAGCACCCTTCTGGCAAGACAGTGATGGAGTGAATGATGGTGAAAGTTTTTCTTTTTCGGGCCACCCTGCCTTGGTGGGAATCGGCCAGTGTGATAATAAAAAAAAAAAAAAAAAATATAATTTAACTATATATAATTTGTGTTCCCATTATCATATATAATTTTTGCTTACATTATCATATATAATCTGTATTTCAAGTAATATATATAATTTTTATTTACATTATCATGAATACAGCCTCTCCTAACTTAACGACGGAGTTCCGTTCCTAAGACCACGTCAGTAAACGAATTCTTGGCAGCGAGTCTGTGTCAGCCATCTTTGGTATTGTTTTAATGTTGCCTTTGCACCATTTATAACATTTCTGGTACATTTTTAAATGTTCATACAGTAGTGTACTGTATATTGTAATAAACAGAATAGAAGAAATCAGCTCTAATATACATTACCTAGTTATGCATACTGGTCAGAGAGCCCATCGTATGTCTGATTCGTCGGTAAACGAGTACGTCGCTAAGTGAGGAGAGGCTGTAATCTGTATTTCTAGTAATATATATAATTTTTGCTTCCCTTATCATATATAATCTGTATTTCCAGTGTGTATATATATAATTTTTGTTTACATTATCGTATATAATCTACATTTCCAGTAATACATATAATTTTTGTTTACATTATCATATATAATCTGTATTTTTAGTAATGTGTAATTTTTGCTTACATTATCATGTATAATCTTCACTTCTAGTAACATGTATAATTTTTTCAGGGCCATTTCCGTTCTGTTGGGCGCCATGTGGAAATCACTACCAGAAGAAGACCGAGAAACTTTCAATGCCGAGGCACGGGCCCAGGCCGAGGAGAGAAAGCGTATCGATCCCGACTGCTGGAAGAGAAAGCGTTCTCACTCGACCAGCTAAAAACTATTTTGCACTAGGCCTAGTTTAGAAAAAAAGAGTAGAAATGTCACTTTTGCCCTTAGCACGACTCGTTGCCTCTAGGAAGATTGATATATTGTCAAAGATGTTTGCCAAATTTTGATTTTGTTAGTACTGTGGCAGGCTTTGGTATGTGGGTGTCCCTCATTTTATGCGGATTGGCTTTTTTTTTTGTGAATTAGCGATTACACGGCATTTGATTACTGTTGGCAGTTCCCCACGTCTGACGTGCAATCACCATTTCCAATCATTGTGATTTGCAAAAGTATTGAAGGTGTTTTTTGTGTGGAATTAAACACTGACTACCTGACCGAGCCTGATACATCTGCCATAGGTTGGGAATACACCTGCATAAAGCCAGGGACACCTGTTGAATTAAATATGGCATGCAACTACCCATGGCTTAATTATCTGTTCAACGTTGCATTTTCCAAACTTCATCTTGCATAGAAAGATGGAAGATTTACTGTTCCTCAAAATTTCTTTCATGTTGGAGAACTGTGCTAGTGTTTTAATATTTAGAAATTGAAAGAAACATTCTTTGGGCAATTCTAGAATTTTTTTTATGTGACACACTAAACCCGTACTGGGTCGTGATGGAGGCACGGCCCTCCATTCGCCAATCACGAGACAGACACGCTACCTACCTGCATTCACAGATTGCCGTGGGCAGTCCTAGAAAAGGTGGATCTGGCATCCAGTCAGGACGCTCCTGGCTTGCAAATGGTGTGGACTCGGCCAGCTTGCACATTTTCTTATAGCGATGTGCAATAGTATTTTTGAGTTACAAACCTTCAGACATGCTAGTTTTTACTGTGGGTGAAGTATGGTGTAGCGGACAAGTGGGAGCGGGAAACGCACAGCAAGAGCATACCTTTATTTAATGTGTTTCACCTACACAAGGCTTTATTACGATAAGAGGATGTGCTAGACACAAGTGCAACATCCGGGTATCTTGTAGACGTCTCTGCCATCCAGTGGCTTTATCAATACAATATATGGCTCAATGTCTACAAGATACCCAGGTGTTACACATGTCTAATTCTTGTTGGTATTGAATACCACTGATACATAAGTATGGTAATAGCCTCATTCAGATGAAATACCATACTGATAAAACCCTCCTCTTGCTGTATGCATCTCTCTGCCACTGCTGTAGTTTTTATTGTATTTAAAAGTGATGCTGCAACTGGAATATCAAGGAACAAGTATTATCATCATATTTATATTTAGTTGGTAAGGTTTAAGGATTTTTGTAAGTATTCTCCTTATACAGTAGTAAATGATCTCTGTATTACCACTTTCAGGGGTTATTACAGTCTACACTTATTGTATTTATTTTGTACTTCACCTACTGTATTCTACTTTTAGCTGTGTCAAGTATTGACCATTTTAAATGCAGTATTTTATAAGTTTATACAAGATTTTATTTTATTTTTTTTTTATTTTTTTTTGGGGGGGGGATTTTTGTTTTTTTGAGTTTTGTTACTTGAAACGTGATTTGCTCAGCTGATGATCATTTTAAAACTTGGTAACGAGGCAATATATCTCATCGCAGTATTAGTTTTGTGGTAATTAAAAATGTTAGGTTCAGAATAACAGATTGTCTTAAACTTAAGTTCAGAATAACCAGCTGTTTTAAACTTAGGTTCCTTCCCAAGCAACTTAGACCTTGACCCTAGCATTGCCCTCTCCGTCGACCGTGGTATTCGACTGTGCTTTCTTGTAGTCCCAGTATATGCTCAGTTGAAATTGTAGCTCACGACATTACGCTTTCCTTGCCACCCTCAGTAGTTTTCCATTCCTTCCCTGATGTTAGTTTTGCATCTTTGAATATTATGAATGACATCTCTCAGGCACATTAAGAATCAATTATACTAGGGTGCAGGGGGTTCCCTGACTTGGACGCCTGAGTTATGATGATCTACATTCACAAAAGAGTCCAAAAAGTGCATGCAGGAGGCCACGCATATGCAGCACTTTCTTTTTGGTGTTCCACATTTTGTATATATTTGGTAGAATTACCAACTATGTAAAGTAAGAGGACACAGGTGCAACTAATGTGACATTTTATTGTGGCAACGTTTCGCTCTCCAGGAGCAATGTCAAGCCGTTACAAACAATACATGGACACAAGAGGGTATATATAGGTGTAGAGTGAGGTGCAATACTAGTGGTAGTAGTAGTAGTAGTGATAGAAGTTGTAGTAGTAGTAATACAATATGGTAGAACAAGTAATAGGTTTGATATCCTTTTACTCGTGTGCAAGTTAATTGTTCTACCATATTGTATTACTACTGCTGCTGCTACTTCTACTACTACTACTATTACTACCACTAGTATTGCACCTCACTCTAAGCCTATATATACCCTCTTGTGTCCATGTATTGTTTGTAACGGCTTGACAAAGCTCCTGGAGAGCGAAACATTGCCACAATAAAATGTCACATTAGTTGCACTTGTGTCCTTTTACTGTTCCACATTTTCATTGGCTTCAAATTGAGCCATTGTTCATTATGTCACTGGTGGGTGGAACAATGGCCGAGATGGAAATCAACCAAAACATGGAACATTGAAAATATGTGCTATATATATGGGACTCTCCTGTAATTGGAGAATCACAAATGCTGACCTGCCATCGCAAACGTGCGTCATAATTATCCACAGCAGTACTATGTTATCTGGGATAATGGGTTCGTGGTTGCAAGAGATTTTTGTAAGTTGAAATACTAGGAAGGCAACTTGTTCATAAGTCTGGAGACCCCTCTATATGCCTTATTTGTATGTGATACTAGGAAAGTCCAGATCTTTAAGACAGTTTCCCATCAAATACTGATTGATGCTGCAGTCACTTCTCTTATAAAGCTTCTCTATAAGTGATTTTCTTGCAAATACAATTAAAAAAGATCGTTCAAAAGGCCTTTCAACAAACTTTTCATGTGTATTTTTCAGTCACATTTATAAAATGTTCATCGTGTATACCCAGAGGGGATTTTGGGGGTCAGCACCTCGGTACAGAGGTTTATAAGAGAGTTTACTGTGTATCAAACTTCAGTGATTGATGCTATATAAAAATTTTAATATTTGCACTCTATAAGTGTTAACTTTTTCATATACTCATTGGCTGTTATACATTAATGAAGGAAAGACAGGTGGTTGAACATGTTGGTTCAACAAACACTCGGACATGTTACAAAATGCTTCAGGTCTGGGACCTGGCTTGGGGTTCCAGGTTAATAGTAGTCAAGGTTGTCCCACAGCTAAAATATTTTCTGATATGTCTTAGTGTTTGTTTGTGTGTCTTGTAAAACCACCAGTGGGCATCAATTAGCAAAGGTTTATGCCCAGCTCTTACTGTGTCAATGTTTTGCTCTGTAGAGCTGTGTCGAGTCACTTGTTTTGATTGAGCTCTGCACAGAGCAAGACATTGCTGCAGTTGAAGTTTGCTCTGCACTCATATTTTCGCTACCATAGAGACCATGCGTTTCTATCTGTAATCCTTTGCTTGAAAAGTCGAGTGAAATCATCCAGGTTTTGGTTTAAATTGCTCTAAAATCTTAAAGATCTATGAGTTCAGAAGTGAAGATTATGTCTTCACTATGTGATAACTGGTAAGGCTTGTCCTCATAATATACAGGAGTTCCCCCTGCATATAAACCATCCTTTTTTTTTTTTTTTCTTCAGAGTTTTACATTTTCATTGCATTCAAATTGAGCCATTGTTCACTATGTTCCATCTGCTGGCAGTAGTCACCGGTGGATGGAACAACGGCTCACTGAAAGCCAATGGAAATGTGGAACAACAGAAATAGTTTCTGTATATACAGGGGAAACTCCTGTAGTTTGCCCTCACTCTCCAAATTATTTGTGTAATTTGGTTTGTTGTTGAATGGCTTCTGATTTATTCTTAAAAAGTACTCCCCAACAAAAGCCAGTTTTGTAAGAAACAAAATGTTTGTACAGACCTCAGTTCTCTGTGTACATACGTTATCCACAGTGGCAATTTCCTACTAAGGTGACCCAAAGAAGGCAGCATTTGCCATCGTTCAGGCAGTAACTGCTTTGCTGGAAGTTTGCAGACCTCAGTGCAATTCAGTGTTCCTTAACCCATGTGGAAACACAGCTTAGCCCTTTCAGGGTCAAGAGGCCCTCTCCTAAACTTGTTCTCAGAGTCAAAAAGTTTTCTGAAAAATTATTTTTTCTTATGAAATGATAGAGAATCTTTTCCCGATCATAATAACACCAAAAGTATGAAATTGGCGGTCTCGCCAATTTTTACGCATCGGCAATTCCACCAATTCCTGTGTATTAGTCGACAAAAATCATATTTATTTCGCTAGAACTCCATTTTTTTCTATCGAATGAGTACAAGAAACCACCCATTTACCAATTTCAACTGTCCAATAAAGTGGTTAGAAATTGGCAATTTTGCCAATTTCACACAAATTTCAGAAGATGCCAATTTCCAAATAGCTTCCAGAATAAACAAGAAAGACATTTCTGGCACCAAAATAACAAGTTCTCTGTTCATTAGTCATGTCCCCACACCCCTCTTATATTTCTTTTACTTTCCACTTTGAATTTTTATTCTTAAAAAAATAGAAGATTTACTGTTATGCAGACTACTACATTAGTGTAGAAATGGTATAAATAATATCAGCGCACTTGTGAAAGAATATTAGACTCACCAGTTGACGTGTATTGGACGCTTGGCATGATTTGTTTACTTTTGAACTTTGGTAAAAATCGAACATTTCTGCTACTTTGAGCTCAATTTCAAGGTACTTTTCATTGTAAAACCAGTCAAATTCATCTCAATTTCTGTAATATGTCTTCCATTCTATAAAATGAGACCAGGAAAACTAGAATACATCCATAAATACCATACGAAAATATACTGAAAAGTCGCTGTTTTAATCCAAAAACACGGTCGGAGTTTTTTTTTCTCATTATGCACTGTGTGCTGCAGGATTTTTTATGCTGTGCACACTGACCACATAGACCCATTCTTTCATATGTAGGCCTACCAGCTTTCTCTCACTAGATTTGAGGGCACTAGAATTTAGGCATACTAGTATGTCAATAACCCCTGGTGCGTAAGCCGTACTAGTACATACGTCGAAAACTCTGAAAGGGTTAGGAACACCAAGGAAACAAAAAATGGAAAATATATATTGAAACTGTTACGTATGACCAGGTATAATTTTACAAATATATTATAAATTTTGTTCATTTGACCTTCATGGCTTTAGCGCTTGGTTTTGATTATAATAATAACCATCTCCAGTGCAACACTTAGCTGCTGTTTTCAACTTCATCAGTATTAAACCCGTATAATCGGTTCATCATCAACCCTCACGTGGTGTTCATACAGCTTTGATCATTGTGTATATTCTTGAATATTATGTATATTTGGCTAAATTTCCCGCCTCCACTTTTTAATTTATAATTATTAACACGCCGGCTGTCTCCCACCGAGGCACGGTGACCCGAAAAAGAAGAAACCGATCCCAGTGCACTTTATAAAGCAGTTCTGATAGTCAAATGGGCAGATTCTTGTGCTCAGTATAACAGAAGTAGTGAAAAATTTAGCTGAATTGAGAAATGGAATTGGCTTAAAATAAGACTCAGAGTGGGCAGAATCGCCCAAGCTACAAACTTCATACTTGTGTAATTCCGTAAGTTTTCCATCAAATTTCTTATTTTTTGGTGCCATTACTTAACCCTTAAACGGTCCAAACGTATATATACGTTCACGTGCGTAGCGCCCCAAACGTATATACTGTATACGTTTTCTTTGTCATTCATTCAACACTGCCACGATAAGCCTGAGTCACCTAGACATGAGAGAATGGGTGTGCGCACTCACTGTGCACCATATTAAAATAATTGGGGATGCCTGGGTATCATATTCTCTTTTCGTATTAAAAAAAAAAAAAAATCTCAAAATTTGGGGCGCTACACGAGTGAACGTATATACAGTGGACCCCTGGTTAACGATATTTTTTCACTCCAGAAGTATGTTTAGGTGCCAGTACTGACCGAATTTGTTCCCATAAGAAATATTGTGAAGTAGATTAGTCCATTTCAGACCCCCAAACATACACGTACAAACGCACTTACTTAAATACACTTACATAATTGGTCGCATTCGGAGGTAATCGTTATGCGGGGGTCCACTGTATTCGTTTGGACCGTTTAGGGGTTAAAAGATTTTTTTACAATTTCTGCAGAGGAAATTGTTTTTGTTTTAAAAATCCCGACACTGAGCACTTTAATTCCACGACTCCGGCAAGAGAAAGGGTTAATAAGCCCAGAGCCTTTAATTCTCCAAACACCCAGAAAATTATATATTCAAATTGTCTGAGTGCATCGTTTGTCTCTACATGTAATGTAAATTTTTACATGTGTTTTAAATCCATAGTAGCATTTATTATTTGCCATTTATGTGAAAACAATTAAAAACAGTAATGTTTGCATTACATAAAATTAGGATTGATTTGAATTTTTGATAATTATGGATTTTTCTTTATTCTGTGAAAAACTTCACAGAAGTGTAAGAGGTGGACTAAACAGTCAAAATGCCGTATTGAGAAGAAAAGTTGTAATGATGTTTTGGTCCATGTTGGGCCATTAATCAGTCCCACTGGTTAATGGTTCATGTTGGACCATTAATCAGTCCCACTGGTTAATGGTCCATGTTGGACCATTAATCAGTCCCATTGGTTAATGGTTCATGTTGGACCATTAATCAGTCCCACTGGTTAATGGTTCATGTTGGACCATTAACCAGTCTTACTGGAACTTAATTATGGCTTATTAATGATCCTAGTTTGACCAAAAAGCCTTTGTAAGTTTTGGTGTTGTAAGTGCTGGTTATTTGTGCAATGGGAGCTAGTCAACTGACTTGACTCACATTATTATGGCTTAATACTTTAAATATATAACAGAAAAGTTGGGCAGTAAAGAAAAATAGTCACGACATTGGATCTGTGGTTATTAACCGCCACAACAACGTGAATAATTTTTTCGGCATTAAGAGTTAAGACTCGCAAAATTGTAATAATACGATTGTAAACAAGCCATGGAATGAGTGGGGTTTAATTCCTTGGGTTCGAACTCCACCCATTCATGGTTGAGGTTTAATGACAGTAGAAATCTGTCAAAAATCAAATGGAGATCTAGAGATGAGAATTTAGTGACGAGCATCTCTCGTTTAGATGTTTGCATGTGTAGTAACTGTCAAATGTACAGTTTTTAAATAAGTTTGTGGCCGGGTCACTGAATGAGGTAAACTTTGCATGTTAGAAAAATAGAAGTCACAGTACTGTGACTGGAACAGTTCATGACTGAGAACAAAAATCTCATTACCATAACTGGAACAATTTACAACTAAGTCATAATACCATAACTGGAACAATTCATGACTAAGAAAGTCGTAATACCATGACTGGAACAATTCACAAGTCATAATAACATGGCTGGAACAATTAGATAATCAGTGACCTGTACAAACATTTTGTTACAAAACTATGGTTTAGTACCCAGCAAGTACAGGTGCTCCTTGACTACAATGGGGTTGTGTTTTAATGAACTCATTGCGAGTTAAAATTATCGTAAGTTGAAAATATTGCAAGTTGAAAATGTTGTAAGTCAAACTGCGCCATCATAAAGTTGAAATGCAAGTCAAACCACACCATTGTAAGGTGAAAATATTGTAAGTTGAACCACATCATCGCAGAGTGGAAACATTGCAAGTTGAACCATGTTCAGTGAGGAGTACCTGTACTGTAGGCTCGGTGTGGAGAAGCGGGGAGTACCATAGGCCTATAATTGACTTCATGTGGCAATTCCTTACCTGCTGCCTTGTGCTCGTGTGGCATACGTCTTTCACAAACATGAGAAACGTGTTTTGGAACAAAATAGTTTTTGTTCGTAGCCTGAAAATAGATTGAAAATGTGTTGAAATGTCATGAACAAATGAAAAGAATACAGTGGAGCAATGGGTATTTGAACCCGTGGTCTGGCAGTCCTGGGTTTACCATCCCTGTCTCTTGACCAGGGGTTAAGCACATCAAACTGGCAGTCGTGGGTTTACCACCTTGCTTCTAGCCCGGGAGATAAGCACAACCCACACGACAACCAGACTGGGGATTTGAACCCCACTCCACTGAAATACAGTAAACCCTCCATATAGCTGACAAAATCCACTGGTTAAATCTTACTTTTAATTCACAGACAGTCGGCTCTTATATAACTCCTCAATATACGTAATGTGATTTTTTTGTAAATATGATTTAAAAACTGCATCAAAAATTTAATATCACGGACTGTGAAGGCCTTTCATGCAGTTTAATTTTGGATGTACTTCTTCAGTCGCATTTCCAAAAAAAAATGCATTATATAGAGGAGCGTTTTAAATAGTGTTGACTGTATTTTGTGTTTATTAGTTGTAAATTTCCATGAAGTATTATATATACAGTAAAATACTTTAGCGATTTTTTTCTATAATTTTTTTAAGCGCTTTTAATGAACACAGAGAAAATCCTAGTGATTTTTTCTGTGATTATTTTTAAATGTGTTTTAATGGACACTTGAAAAATCCTAGTGATCTTTTTGTGATTTTTTAAACATCAATTAATAGACACTGGGTAAGTCCTTCCCTAATAGTGCGTTATATTGAGGGTTCACTATGGATGCCTATTTTTTTTACTCTTCTCCCCGTCCTTACTTTCCCCTCTTTCCTGCAACTATGTTAAGTGTAAATTACTATTGTTATAGACAAGGTCTCTTGCTAAAATTTATTGATGTTACATATTGTAGCGAATATATAGAGAGAATTGTATGATTTTTATTGGAAGCAAATTTTAAGTGATAGGTTAAGATGTATAAAGTTGCTCAGAAAGTAGGACTAAGTTGTCTTATAAGACTTTTCTATTCGTTATATTTTTTTGCAAATGCTGTTGAAAGAGTTCATTCAGAATTGAATAGTGTGTACTGTAAAGGTGTTTAAAGGCATTATTTACTTCTGAATTACTTATTGCAATTGCACTTATCAGTAATAATAATCTTTATTTCTACATGTATGTGATACAAATTATACAGAGCATAGCTAACAGCATTGATATACTGTAAAGTCCCTGGTTATGCAGAGCATTTCCCACAACTTAGGTTAGTCTTATCCCCCAGGATGCCACCCACACTGGTCACCTAACGCCCAGGTTACCTACTTGCTTCTAGGTGAACAGTGACAGCAGGTGTTAGTAGACTAACAACCAGGTTACCTGCTTACTGCTAGTGAACAGTAACAGCAGGTGTTAGTAGACTAACACCCAGGTACCTACTTACTGCTAGGTGAACAGTAACAGCAGGTGTTAGTAGACTAGCACCCAGGTACCTACTTACTGCTAGGTGAACAATAACAGCAAGTGTTAGTAGACTAGCACCCAGGTACCTACTTGCTGCTAGGCGAACCTGTAGCGGGGACTGAACAATACACACTAGAGGAGCTTTATAAGACAGCAAATTGTAGTTTGTTAGATAATATTAAGCTTAAAGAGCTTGAGTACATTATTATCCTGCCAGCTCTGAGGTGATCTCAGTAGATGCAGTTGTACAATGTCTTTCATCTGTCCTCAAACTCATCAGGAAGATTAGGAGAGCGAAGCCAAATTTGTATCACTAACCCCTGTGTCTCTCTCTATCTCTATCTGTCTCTATCTTTTTCTCTCTATCTTTCTCTCACTCACTTTTTGTTTAAATTCTTTCATTGGCTGAAATTCCATTTTTCGAAGGCATTTCGTCCATCAGTTAATTGACAAACCACAGCACGGATGGGAATTGAACTAGTGGCAAGTGAGTCGTAAAACTCACTCTCTGCGAATTCAATCCCCACCTGTGCCATTCTTTGTTTGCAATTGTGTCATAACGATTTTGTGAATCAGCTAATTGTTTCAAAAACAAGTTAATTTTGCTTTATTGGAAAGTGGCAATGGTATTCTCAACAACTGGCGTACGAGGTTTGGTACAGGGTAGTACAGCGCCCCTCCTGCATTAACACAGTCAATATGAACTTGTAAATAATTAACATGTTAACCAATTGTCAGAAATTGAAATTCCTATACGTATTTGTGCAATGTTCGGGAATCTTTATCAAGGAAACATTTTGCCAAAAAGTGGCTTCTTCAGTCCAATACAAAGAAGAATGGTTAAAGATCAGAAGGAGTTTGAGGTTATCAGTTCCTGAACCTGGAGTTGTGTTGAGTCCATCAGCCTTGGGAACAGCACGATTGATGGACTAAACACATCGCCTCCAGGCTGAAGGACTGATTACCACAAATTCCTTCTGATCTCCCATTGTTCTTCTCTGTGCTGGACTAAAGAAGTCACTGGTTGGCAAAGTATTTCCACAATAAACATTTCCAAATGCTGAACAAGTGTCTCATTTTTTCAACTCGTGGGTTTTCTAAACCATTCATAACATCGTATGTTTAAAATGTGAGACAACAAATCTGTCATTAACATGACAATGTATCGGAGGTGTGCCGTATGGCACAGTGAGAATACCCTTACTAGCATAGTTCATGTGATCTCAGTGTAGATGGCGTCTATCTGTTGCCGCTGTAGCACAGAGTCTTTGTTTATATTATACAGTGACAGATTGTAGATGAGGCTTATTCTTTTAAAAATTATTTCTGGGTAATAAAGTTAAATTGCCTCTCGTGTAGATGGGAAATCGTTAAATTACCTCTTGTTTAGACAGGGAATGATTAAATTACCTCTCGTGTAGACGAGAAGTTGTTGCTTATATGTGTTGAATGTTGACCGCCTCACCTGCATTTGTCACGTTAGATATGGTATGCTTTAAATGTTGGATATAATCAATTAGTACTTTTTTTTTTTGTAAACACAAAACACATTTTTTTTTAATGTGGTTAATATTCGTTTTAAGTCTCGACAATCACACAGTGTAAAGATAACTATATTTTTATCGTTGTTATTTTAGTGTGATTGTAGCCTGGGATATGAGGATTATTGTGGTGTTCATTTTAATGTCCATAAAGCTGTAAGGAAACCCTGTCCCTCAAACTGACACCCAGCCTCACTTATTCAAGAACAAGAAGGCACAATACCGTGACTGTAACAATACACAAATAACCTGCACATAGGAGAGAGAAGCTTACCACAATATTTCAGTCCAACTTGGACCATTTACAAGATCACGCTATCACAACTACTGCTTCTACTTCTGTACTACTTCCACTACCACCCTTACCACTACCACCACTTCTTTTTCTTCCTCTCTTGGTCCCGTCCCTGTCCTCCTCACGTATATACATATAGTGGCTCACTCACTCTTTTGTGTTAGTGTGACTTTGTAAATGGTCCAGGTTGGACCAAAACATCGTCATAAGTTTCTCTCTTATATGTGTGGGCATTTGTGTATTAATTATTAAAGAATTTATTGTTCTGGATGATGGCTGCTTTATTGGGCTTAAAGCCTGTCGACTACACCAGAGTCATTAAGGCTACAAGTCGCCTGTACACCACCAGTTGAGGACACTTCAACACCTAAAATGGAGATTAGGTTAAAGTCTCAGCATATGTACACTGAGAGATGCATACCTCTCTATGTATATACCATACCCTCTTTTGAACGACGGCACTTCAGCTGGGTGAACACAAGTGCATGGAAGTTGCTCACAGCCAGCACTGATGCCATTCTCCTGCCTCCTATTCATATAGACACATTGTTGCTGCTCAATATGGCCACAACCACTGCTATACCATAGTTTCCACCATAGCTCCAGTGTTGTGATGTTCACGGGTAGTGTATGAAGGGGGTTGGTGCCGTCAAGCTCAAAATGTCGTCAAGAAGAGCGTAACCTCCTCCTCTTCATCTTTCTACTTTAGGCGGCTTGACTACTAGAGGTCACTAGCACTGGTCTTTGGAGAGTATCAGCCAAGAATAGTCCGATCCCTAAAATAGGGACTAAAGCAAACTCTCAGTGTATATACACTGACAGACATACACCTCTCGGTGCATGTGCGTGTGTCTATATTCACTATACGTGTAATCCTGTCTGATCTCACTACTCTAGGTTAAGAATGAAGATCTAAGTGATAACCGATATATACTGTTTTCAGTGTAATTAGTATTATTCTTAGCACCTAAATGGAGTGCTTTTTTTTGTATATATTTTTTTATAAGCTGTAAGCCTTGTGTTGTATTTTAAACAGTCACGGGATTTTGTTTTGTGCTGTACTTTTGCACTGTATATTGAGAGGTACAGATATTGTAGTTTTAAAATTGTTGATGTTTTCACAAAAATAGGTTTTTAAAACTATGTTGAAATATTCAGAGCGAGGTTTTTAAAATTGTGTCAACATTTACAGATACCGGTTTTATTGTAGACTATGTTGAAATGTACAGATACCGGTTTTATAATGGACTGTGTTTATATAAACCGATGCAGAGCTTTTAAAATTGAATTTATGTTGAAATTTTCAGATACTAAGTTTTTTAAAACTGTTTCATTTTCTTTCTGAAGTATAACAAATGTTAATGGTGTTAGTGTTTCAGTGGCTCTTGTGAAGGCTTAAGACCTGGTCAAGACTGATTATTGTGGTTAGTGGTGCTAGGGGTCATCTGCACTGATAAGACACATGTGCAAGAGTTTGGGTATCTTTATTCCAAAATGTTTCGCCTACGCAGTAGGCTTCTTCAGTTGAGTACAGAGAAGGCAGCAGAAATAGTAGAGATGTAAAGTTGATGTAATCAGTCCATCACCCTTGAAGACGTAGTTTTGAGGTGGCCAGTCACGGCCATACAGTAATACTGGGGAAGTGCTAGATCTGTAGGGATCATACAGTGCTTAGGGAATGTGCGGGGTGATCCTGATCTAGGGAAGGGGAGTAAAGTTCCATCACCAGGATCAGAGTAACTTAAGTGTCACTAGCATCTCTAACCACTATAACAACATTCATATCAGTGCACTGTCTTCATTTTATCTTTTATAATTTCTTTCAATTTAAAATTCCATCCAGTTGGCCACTATATCAGTTTTATAAATTTGTTTGCAGAGAACTGTACACACATCCAGGGTGTTAATTTCATATAACAAATTCTGTGATTAGATAGTGACCTGAATTTAATTAATAAAACAGGAAAGGGTTTTATAATTGCACAAACACACTCAGCACGTCTGGCAAGGTGTAGGAAATGTGTGTGTTGCAGAGCAAGCTGTTGTTGCTTGCCTCTGTGTAGAGCTCTATTAAGTCACGACCAGATGGAGTTCCACGCAGAGTGAAGCATCTCTACGTGTGTGGGCTCCATGACACGTATATTTCCTTCGCCACTACCAATAGTATGCCATTTGGATCAAACATCTGGCAAACTTTTCTAGACGCCATACTTTCATTGTCTTCCCATAATGGCCGCGTCAGCCCCGCCATCTGGCGAGGCTTCTCAAAGACTCTTAAGTAAAATTATCGGAAACGAAGGTGTTGAACACCTTACGCGTCCCATTCCAGTGGAAAGGTTGGTAACAACATGTGAGGAGACGCAGTGCATTGTTCCATGGAGTGTTAAACCCATGTGGGTCACTAAGTGCAAGGGGGCCATAAGGCTCAATTCTGTATTTAGGTCTGTGTGTGCCGAGGAGCACAAAAGAACGGTGGAGGCTCCATCCTCCGTCCAGTAAACCTGCCCTGGTCTCTGATCGGCCAGGCTGTTGGTGATGCAAAAAAAAAAATCAGTGGAGAAAATGAATTACATCCTGTAAAAGTAATTTAAGGAAATCTGCCAAAGCTGACAGCCACTGCTTTACACTCGGTCACTGCCGTCACTTGCCACTTTCCACTCGTCGACAGCGAGAGGTCGGAAGCACTGCACACATCTTTCAAGAGTCGATCTGCCGTCGGACGCCGCTGGCACCAGGAGTATTATTTGTCAATTGAGTTGTGTATAGATGTTGCATGCATGACATTGTTTTGAATGGTCTTAATTTGGAAGATATTTTGTATAATGAAAAATACTCTCGTATAATATCTTGTGTAATGAAATAAAGAAAAAAAGAGGTTTATTGAGTTTTCTTGAACCCTCGCAATGACCCAGACAATGGTTGACACTTCCGCTGAAGTGTCACAGTTGTTGACGCTTCCGCTGAAGTGTAAATCACTTAAATTGTAGTCCTTAGGTCCTCCCCCAGGATGCCACCCATAAGTTAACTAACACCCAGGTACCTATTTACTGCTACATGAACACTATCATTTATGAATGACAATAGCTGTATGACCCTTATGGGTTTAGCGCTTGGTTATGATTATAATTGTTATAATTGACCCTCAAAGGGGGATCTATGATACTGGTAGAGCTCTTGATCCTAGAAGCTAGAGCTGCTCGTGTGTCTCCTTGGATCATCAGAATATAATTGACTCGCAATGCACCAGCCGCTTGTGACCCCACGAATTTAGCGCTTCCTCCATAAAACTACTCAAGGAAGGTTCCTTGATGTTGGTGAGGGGCTCTTGATTTAGGGAATTGGATCTGTGCTCCAGTTCCCCGAATTAAGCCTGAATGCCTTCCACCCCCCCCCCCAGGCGCTGTATAATCCTCCGGGTTTAGCGCTTCCCTCTTGATTTTAATACTAATAATAATTCCTCCATAAAAAAATTAGTCTGCCCCTTAATACCATAAATTATATAAACGAGAATTTAGAATAATTATAGATATTTAGTAATTTTTTTTAGTTAATAAAGGGAGCTAAATGCATTACTTTATCATGAAATTATATTATAGTAGCAGCAAGATGTTTATTTTAAATGATAATTATTATTATAGATAATTATAGTCAGTTTCTCGATTATATAATCCTGTTTTATCCTTTAAAAGTATTGCCAAACCTCGAGTCATGACATACTTCACTTAAAGGCTCTAAATCCCTGGAAATGGAGCAAATTTCCCATTCAGCTACCCCAAAAAACTTATGATATCATTCTTCACTGGGGGACGACCCATACGGGTGCAGCACTTTCCAAATAAACAAAATAATAATGCCCCAAAGATTTTGGCATTGATCTGGCAACAGTTGTTGTTATTGTTGTGGAGAAAGAAGAAAAAGAGAGAGAAGATAAAGAAGACAAAAGGACGAGAAAGAGGAGGATTATCGGTGTTTTTCTTGGTGGAAGAGAAAGAGGAAGAGTCAGAGAGGAAGAGGGAGGAGCAGCGAGAGAAGAAGGAGAAGAGGGTTAAATATGCCGCCCACCGTCAACCAGACTCACCCTGTTGACCGTGAGAAGCGACCAAGAACTGGAGACAGAAAGTAAGATAATCTAAGATAACCTAAGATAATGTGAGATATCACGACTAGAGGTAACCTAAGATAATGTAAGATAACCTAAGATAATGTGAGATATCACTAGAGGTAACCTAAGATAATGTAAGATAACCTAAGATAATGTGAGATATCACGACTAGAGGTAACCTAAGATAATGTAAGATAACCTAAGATAATGTGAGATATCACGACTAGAGGTAACCTAAGATAATGTTAGGCAACCTAAGATAATGTAAGATAACCTAAGATAATGTAAGATAGCCTAAGATAATGTGAGATATCACAACCAGAGGTAACCTAAGATAATGTAAGATAACCTATTTAATAAATGTATGGAAGAGGGTAAGGTACCTAGGGATTGGCAGAGAGCATGCATAGTTCCTTTGTATAAAGGCAAAGGGGACAAAAGAGAGTGCAAAAATTATAGGGGGATAAGTCTGCTGAGTATACCTGGTAAAGTGTATGGTAGAGTTATTATTGAAAGAATTAAGAGTAAGACGGAGAATAGGATAGCAGATGAACAAGGAGGCTTTAGGAAAGGTAGGGGGTGTGTGGACCAGGTGTTTACAGTGAAACATATAAGTGAACAGTATTTAGATAAGGCTAAAGAGGTCTTTGTGGCATTTATGGATTTGGAAAAGGCGTATGACAGGGTGGATAGGAGGGCAATGTGGCAGATGTTGCAAGTGTATGGTGTAGGAGGTAGGTTACTGAAAGCAGTGAAGAGTTTTTACGAGGATAGTGAGGCTCAAGTTAGAGTATGTAGGAAAGAGGGAAATTTTTTCCCAGTAAAAGTAGGCCTTAGACAAGGATGTGTGATGTCACCGTGGTTGTTTAATATATTTATAGATGGGGTTGTAAGAGAAGTGAATGCGAGGGTCTTGGCAAGAGGTGTGGAGTTAAAAGATAAAGAATCACACATAAAGTGGGAGTTGTCACAGCTGCTCTTTGCTGATGACACTGTGCTCTTGGGAGATTCTGAAGAGAAGTTGCAGAGATTGGTGGATGAATTTGGTAGGGTGTGCAAAAGAAGAAAATTAAAGGTGAATACAGGAAAGAGTAAGGTTATGAGGATAACAAAAAGATTAGGTGATGAAAGATTGAATATCAGATTGGAGGGAGAGAGTATGGAGGAGGTGAACGTATTCAGATATTTGGGAGTGGACGTGTCAGCGGATGGGTCTATGAAAGATGAGGTGAATCATAGAATTGATGAGGGGAAAAGGGTGAGTGGTGCACTTAGGAGTCTGTGGAGACAAAGAACTTTGTCCTTGGAGGCAAAGAGGGGAATGTATGAGAGTATAGTTTTACCAACGCTCTTATATGGGTGTGAAGCGTGGGTGATGAATGTTGCAGCGAGGAGAAGGCTGGAGGCAGTGGAGATGTCATGTCTGAGGGCAATGTGTGGTGTGAATATAATGCAGAGAATTCGTAGTTTGGAAGCTAGGAGGAGGTGCGGGATTACCAAAACTGTTTGTCCAGAGGGCTGAGGAAGGGTTGTTGAGGTGGTTCGGACATGTAGAGAGAATGGAGCGAAACAGAGTGACTTCAAGAGTGTATCAGTCTGTAGTGGAAGGAAGGCGGGGTAGGGGTCGGCCTAGGAAAGGTTGGAGGGAGGGGATAAAGGAGGTTTTGTGTGCGAGGGGCTTGGACTTCCAGCAGGTATGCATGAGCGTGTTTGATAGGAGTGAATGGAGACAAATGGTTTTTAATACTTGACGTGCTGTTGGAGTGTGAGCAAAGTAACATTTATGAAGGGGTTCAGGGAAACTGGCAGGCCGGACTTGAGTCCTGGAGATTAGAAGTACAGTGCCCGCACTCTGAAGGAGGGGTGTTAATGTTGCAGTTTAAAACTGTAGTGTAAAGCACCCTTCTGGCAAGACAGTGATGGAGTGAATGATGGTGAAAGTTTTTCTTTTTCGGGCCACCCTGATTTGGTGGGAATCGGCCAGTGTAATAATAAAAAAAAAACTAAGATAATGTGAGATATCACGACTAGAGGTAACCTAAGATAATGTAAGATAACCCAAGATAATCTAAGATAACCTAAGATAATCTAAGATAACCTAAGATAATGTGAGATAACCTAAGATAATGTTAGGTAACCTAAGATAATGTAAGATAACCTAAGATAATGTGAGATAACCTAAGATAATGTTAGGTAACCTAAGATAATGTGAGATAACCTAAGATAATGTTAGGTAACCTAAGATAATGTAAGATAACCTAAGATAATGTAAGATAACCTAAGATAATGTGAGATAACCTAAGATAATGTGAGATAACCTAAGATAATGTGAGATAACCTAAGATAATGTTAGGTAACCTAAGATAATGTGAGATAACCTAAGATAATGTGAGATAACCTAAGATAATGTAAGATAACGTAAGATAATGTGAGATAACCTAAGATAATGTGAGATATCACGACTAGAGGTAACCTAAGATAATGTTAGGTAACCTAAGATAATGTAAGATAACCTAAGATAATGTAAGATAGCCTAAGATAATGTGAGATATCACAACCAGAGGTAACCTAAGATAATGTAAGATAACCTAAGATAATGTGAGATATCACGACTAGAGGTAACCTAAGATAATGTAAGATAACCTAAGATAATCTAAGATAACCTAAGATAATGTGAGATAATCTAAGATAATGTTAGGTAACCTAAGATAATGTAAGATAACCTAAGATAATGTGAGATAACCTAAGATAATGTTAGGTAACCTAAGATAATGTGAGATAACCTAAGATAATGTTAGGTAACCTAAGATAATGTAAGATAACCTAAGATAATGTAAGATAACCTAAGATAATGTGAGATAACCTAAGATAATGTGAGATAACCTAAGATAATGTGAGATAACCTAAGATAATGTTAGGTAACCTAAGATAATGTGAGATAACCTAAGATAATGTGAGATAACCTAAGATAATGTAAGATAACGTAAGATAATGTGAGATATCATGACCAGAGGTAACCCAAGATAATGTTAGGTAACCTAAGATAATCTAAGATAACCTAAGATAATGTAAGTTTACATTAGATAATGTAAGATAACATAAGATAACCTTAGATAATGTAAGATAACCTAAGATAATGTAAGTTTACATTAGATAATGTAAGATAACATAAGATAACCTTAGATAATGTAAGATAACCTAAGATAATGTGAGATGTCATGACCAGAGGTAACCTAAGATAATGTGAGATAACCTAAGATATTGTAAGATAACCTAAGATAATGTAAGGTATCATGACCAGAGATAATGTGATAGCATAAAATAATGTAAGATAACCTAAGATAATGTATAATAACATAAGATAATGTAAAATATCACAACCAGAGATAACCTAAAATAATGTAAGGTAACCTAAGATAATGTAAGATAACATAAGATAATGTAAGTTTACACAAGATAATGTAAGATATCACGACCAGAGATAACTTAAGATAATGTAAGATAACCAGAGATAGCCTAAGATAATGTAAGATAACCATAGATAAAGTAAGATAACCATTGATAACCTAAGGTAATGTATGTTAATTCACCCTGAGATAATGTAAGATAACCAGAGATACAGTGCTGTATGACCCTTGTGGGTTTAGCACATAGTTTTGACTATAATCAACCAGAGATAACCTAAGATAACATGAGATAACCCCCCAGAAGTACTGCCATGCCCCCCTGAAGCTCTCATTCCAAGGATTTGGAGTTGATCCCTCTCCCTCCTCCCTCCCTGGATTGATCCCCCCTCCCTGAGGGGGGTGTTTTAACCCTTACGGGGTTAGTGCTTCCTCATGAATGCAATTATAATAATAATAATAATATAATAATAATAGTAATATAATAATAATAGTAATAATAATAATAATAATAATAACAGATGAATGAAAGGAGACATAGAATGGGATGGATAATTTTAAATAATGACTTGTTCTATAAAATAATTATAATAATCTATAAAGTAATTATTATAATTATAAAATAATTCCCCTTCCAAGGGGCTCCTTGTCGTGGTAAAGAGGCTAACGGTCTGAGGAATTGGACCTTATGGTCTTCTTCCTCAGACCGAACCTAATTACTCCCCAATTCCCCCTTCCCTATCCCATCCTCCCTTTTTTCTCTTCTTTCCTCCCCCCCCTCCCATCCCTCCCTTTTCCTCATCCCATTTGTAGCCTCTAGGGTCATCCCCTCTGGCATTACGGTTTCTAGGTAGGGGGAAGTGCGCCGGGGTTCATCCCGCTCCATGGGGTTCGTCAGGAGTGGTGTAGTTTGCTGTGGAATCTGGATCATCTGGAGGTGCCCTGCTTCCTTCCCGGATTTCCAGGAGGTGGGGCGGGGTGTCCTGCAGGTGATGGGTGTATCTCCAGAGGCTGCCTGTCAGTTCTGGGAAGTGGCAGCCGAAGGAGGTATGCCTTGTGACAGGTGTCCAACCACCCTCTCTTTTGTCCGCTGAAGTGGCTTGGTGGGTGTGAGGTTGCTATCCTGGAGCACTGGTTTACTGGCATGAAGGGTAGGGTATGGCACGGGTTCCACACTGCATCTGCACAGCTGGTGGTATCGAGGTCCTCTTGGATGAGAGGGGAAACTTATGGCCCTTTCATGCCTTCTAGTGACTGTCCCTCCACTGTCCCTCTTCCTTTTTTTTATTTCCTTCTTTTTTCTTAAAATAATAATAAGAAAGAAGTGCCACCATTATGGAGTCTTCGTTCTGTGACCCCCCTCCTCCCAGGCCCCTTTTTGTTACCGCATCCTGTTCTGACCTGGCTTCATTATTGGACCATTCTCTAGATTTTTCCCCATGCCCCTGTACCTCCTGCTGGTGACTCTTTGTCACCTGCTCCAGGTGCCAAGGCTTCGCCAATTTCGTTTAGTGCCACTGCCTCTTGCACGCCTTTAACTATGCATCCAGCTTCCCCAAATACAGAGTGATGGTTTTCGGATCACCCACCTGCCTCAGGTCGGGCCGCCTGCAGTCCTATGCCTGAATGTTCCAGACCATTTGCTGATGACAGTTCTTTGATTTCTGCTCATTTCACCCAGAAATGACCTACACAACACCCACTTCCTTTATGCACCAAGTTTACAGATACACAGTGGACCAAATTCTTTTCCTTACAACCAACATCTCCAACTGATTATCTTTAAGACCACAGTATTGGTAAAGCTCTTTTATGACATACTGACCAAAATATATCCTTTTACGCTCTTTGGAATGGTGAGCGCATCATTACAGTTCAAAATGCAGACCAAGCTCATGATCTTTCCAATCTTACTTCCATTGATAATGTTCCTGTCACAGTTCGCAAGCATGATACTCTCAGTTCTTGTAGTGGTATGGTGGTCTTACCGCGTACCATTGTACAGTATGATTTTTTTGTCTTGCGATGACGATATTTTAGAGCAATTAGTCCTTCAGGACCTTTATGTCCTGCCCGCTCGCGGGCAGAGATGCTTTCCCAGTAACATTGCCCGCTTATTCTTTGACTGTCATGAACTCCTGTCCTTCGTTTATATTGTGGGACATTGCCTACGGGTCCGTAAAGTGGTCCCTTCAAACATCCTGCTAAATACTGTAGGTCTCTGTTATAGTTCCTGGTCTGCGGTGCCGCAGATCATGCCGATGCATCTTGCAGTGTGCCCCCTACTTGTCTTACTTGCAATGAAGCTCATCCTTTTTTCCCACCAATGTCAGGTCTATCCTGATGAACATGAAATCTGTTGTCCTGTTTTCAAGACCCCTGGTTGTCTTCAAGACCCCTGGCTGTCTTCAAGATCCCTGGTTGTCTTCAAGACCCCTGGTTGTCTTCAAGACCCCTGGCTGTCTTCAAGATCCCTGGTTGTCTTCAAGACCCCTGGCTGTCTTCAAGACCCCTGGCTGTCTTCAAGACCCCTGGCTGTCTTCAAGACCCCCTGGCTGTCTTCAAGACCCCTGGCTGTCTTCAAGACCCCTGGCTGTCTTTAAGACCCCCTGGCTGTCTTCAAGACACCCTGGCTGTCTTCAAGAGGGAGCTGGACAGACACATAAAGTCAGTACCTGACCAGCCAGGCTGTGGTTCTTATGTTGGTTTACACGCGGCCAGCAGTAACAACCTGGTTGATCAGGTCCTGATCCACCACCAGGCTTGGTCATGGACTGGACCACAGGGGCATTAACCCCTGGAACACCCTCCAGGTATACATCAACTCCATGCTGAGGGACTGATTACCCCAAACTGCTCCTCATCTTCCACCTTTCTCTGCATTAGACTGACGAAGCCATTGGCTGGCATTACATTTCCAGAATAAAGATTCCCAAATGTTGCACAAGTGTCTTGTTTATCTCGTCGACTTTTGTAAACCATTTAGTATATAGTACTTCGTAAATTTGTGATGTTATGGTTTGTCATTATTATAGTCATGAGGAAGCACTAAACCCTGAAGGAATAATTGCTCGTGATTTTGTTATTTAATTGTAATATTTTGTAAATGTTATTGTTTAATGATGATTTTTGATGTACGCATTTTTTTATTGCAAGTCTTCCACTACAGGAGCAAATACATATCAGAAGGCAAGTACAACAATTGTATTTTAATATGAAGCTGTATTATACACTGTTGTATTTTCAGAAATACAGAGAAAACTGTACAGATGTTCCTTGACTTAGAATGGTTCAACTTACAATATTTTGACTTTCTTGGTACAAAAGCAATTACAGTGGACCCCCGCTTAACGATCACCTCCAAATGCGACCAATTATGTAAGTGTATTTATGTAAGTGCGTTTGTACGTGTATGTTTGGGGGTCTGAAATGGACTAATCTACTTCACAATATTCCTTATGGGAAAAAATTCGGTCAGTACTGGCACCTGAACATACTACTGGAGTGAAAAAAGTTCGTTAACCGGGGGTCCAGTGTACTTTGGAGATGAAACTTAAGATAATTACCCAGCATGAAGGTGGCAAGTCCATAACATGTATTCATTTATTGACTTTTCAATACTGGTATTTAGCTACAGTAATTATTTTTTCATCCACTTACCCAGTGACAGTAGTTATTTATTAATTTATTTATCATATATTCGACTTACGATATTTTCAAATTATGATGAATTCACCGGAACGTAACCCCCATTGTTAGTCGAGGACCATCTGTACATGCTTGATGTAATGTCTTTGTGTTGGGACTGAATAAGCCTATCAGGGTGAAATGTTAGCTAAGTAAATATCGTGATCTGTAGATAACGTTTTATCTACACAGGAAACATTAGGTATTATCAACCTTGTCCATACATCTCATCATTCCAGGAATTGAACCTGGGTCCTTATGGTTGTATGCTGATTGCTCTACCACTTAGCTTTGAGGATGTGTAATGAGGAATAACATAGGGATGAAATAATTAAAAAACGCATAAATTATGTAAAGCTGCAGATAAGGGTTATCATCTCTGAATGAAGAAATTTTCAACAATTTCACAACTTGAGCTAGAGTTTGCCACAGCCAGACTGGTGGTCACAGTGGTGGCCCATGCTAACCTGCCTGTGGTGTATAGTAATATAGTACCTAGTTATATGAATCTTGAAGATTAAGACACGTGTGCAACAGTTGGCCTAGTTAGCACACTGGCTTGGAGTTTAAGGATTTAGTTACCATGGGTTCAAACTCCACCCATTCTGTGGTTTATCCAGGACTATTGTAAAGTCACAATAGTTGAGACTTGACAGTAATCCAGGATGCACTGAACAATCATCACAAGTTTGGACTCCAGAGTGCTGGTTTTTGGTACTTTGTGTATATTGTGGGAATGTGGCTGTCAGCCTGGTTGAGACTATTACCACAACAACAGCACAAAGTTGGTGTACTAAGGGCTACCTGGAGATTGTTCCATGAGCCAGCGCCCCCATAACCTAGTCCTTGACCAGGCCTCCCGGTAAATCAGGGCCTGATCCACTCATAATATTTAATTTTAAGTTCAGACTGTCAGACATGAATATAAGTCATTTGTCTGAAACACACTTAGCTGAATGGAGGATAACCTCCCCCCCACCACCAAGAGTTGAAAACTAACCGACGAGCCTGGCCATGGACGGCTCCAGGAATAGAAAAAAATCACTATCATTGAAGGTAGTTTCAAAGGATATCAAAAGTAATTGAAGGTTATAAAAGGGTTTTTAACTTTTTTTTAAACAATCCCGTCTCCCAAACAAGGGGAGAAACCCATTCATGTTTTCATTAATCTCTTTTTGTCAGAAGGCTTTGACTACCACAGTTACCCACCCTCAGATTTGTGGCAGTTTTTTCCCCCCTTGAGGGCTCAAGTCCGTTTTATGCAAAAAAAACCAAAGGATCCATATAGGGATTATCTTCGGGAAAGGCCCCGCTTTACGGCGTTTCACTTTACGGCGTTCCGCTATACGCCTTTCAAATTATACCAAAACACGCTATAACGGCTCCCCCATGATTTCTAATCGGTACCTGCCAGTTTGTTTACATTCCCAGCGCTCATAACCTAGTCCTTCCATGCCTCCGTAAATTTTCAAGGCTTAATATTCATAATTTTAATTTATAATTCAGACTGTAACATGAAATAATCCATTGTGTTCTGAAGACACATTAAAATGAAAGGGGTCCCTCTACCGACGCAAATCCAAGAGTTAAATAACTAACCAATAGTCATAGGGGTCAAAATAGAAAAATAATCTCTCCATTAATGTGCATTTTACAATTAAAATTTTCCCCAAATTTTAGTTATATTTTAAATTATATAGCAATGGGTTTAACATTTATTTATTAACACACTCCCCTCACCTCCCACCAATAAAAAAGGTATGTAAAAATTCACTTGTATTTTTTTCATTGTTTTGTTCAAAGCACATTGAATTTAATAACAGTTCAACGATCTATCAATATGCTTAAGGACATGGTTTTTCCCCACTTGAGGCTCGTCCGCTTTAGGGCGATAGCCGGGAAAATCCAATATAAGGAGCATTTATCTGTACACACAGTTTAGAATTCAGTGCATTAACATAGCTGGGCTGGTAGCACACTCAGCTCACACATAGAGGTTCATGGTTTGATCCCCGGTATGGGTGGAAACTCTGAGATGTGACAGCAGGTGTTAAAACACCTGCTGTCACTGTTCACCTAGCAGCAAGTAAGTACCTGGGTGTTAGGTGATTGATATGGGTCACATCCTGGGGACAAAATTAACCTAAGTTGAGGGAAATCCTCTTCATAACTAGAGACTTTCTATATAGTATGTCATTGATGTCAGCTATGGTCTGTGTAAGTTGTATCATGTACTTATAGAAATAAACATTATTATTATTATTAACTTCTGCCCTCCAGGTCCGACTTAGTGAGTCGCGTCAAGTACTGCAACACACTTCCGGACATCCCATTCGACCCCAAGTTTATCAACTACCCTTTTGATTCCAATAGGTAAGTGTTTTTTCTCTCTTATTCCATGCCCATCAAGGGAGGAGCCTTGATTCTGATGAAGGGCTTTTGATCAGATGAATTTGAGCTGCCCCTCTCTTGTTGATCAACTCTGATTACCTTGTGCTCCCTATACTGTAATACTTACAGGTTTAGTGCTCAGAGCCAGGCTGCAGGAGTGGCAAAACTCTTGAAACTCACTAAAGGTATACGAAATGTACCTCATAAGCATAATATTATACAGGTGGTCCTTGACCTACTATGGGGTTATGTTCTAATTAATCCATTGTAAGTCAAAAATGTCACAAGTTGAATATTAATATGATATGCTAAATAAATAAGTAAATAAATAACTGTTGTCCCTGAATAAGTAGATAAATAATTACTGTAACTAAATACCAGCGTTGAAAAATAAATACAGTAGACCCTCATATTACACGGATTTATTTGGCACTTTATGGTCATTGCACTATTGAAAAATTGTAGCATAATTTTATACAACACTTTGTAAAATTAACTTAACATGATTTGGTTTGCGGGAGGGGAAAAAATCTGAAGCGTCACCCATGGATAATTTCCCTAGCTGAGGCCGCCGCCTGGCTGTGGGTGAGACCACTGTCTCCGTGGGGCTGCACAGGGCTTCAAGGCAGCAAAGGATTACTTCACCTTGCTTCCTTGCTTTAATACATCAGGTGATTTAAATTGTAAGCCTATGGATATTTACTGCTCTAAGAATCCTCGTGCTTTGAAAGGTGTAGATAAAAACACCTTACCAGTAATTTGGAGGTCAAACCAGTCAGCATGAATGAAAGAGGAAATATTTGTTGACTGGTTTAAGCATCACTTTATTCCTGAAATCAAGTTTTACCTGCAGAGCGAGAACCTTGCATTCAAGGCTCTCTTCATTCTTGATAATTCCTGTACTCATCCAAACACTTTGCTGGATGTGACACCACATGTAAAAGTTGTATTTTTACCTCCAAATACAACATCTTTAATACAGCCACTGGATCAGGGAGTTATAAGGTCATTCAAGTGTAACTACACAAGAAAAGTGATGAAAAACTAGTTGTATCAGTGGACTCTGACTCCAACCTGGCAGTACTAAGCTTCTGGAATAATGCATAATGTACTGCAGGGTAAAAGAAGCCAGTGATCCATTACAGAATTTATGCACACTCCTATGCAACCATCGACTTTAGTACCAGAACCTCAACCATCCACTTCTGCTGACAACCAACAACTATCCACCTCAGCTCAGAAGGGCCACACCATGCATCTCTACACTCTTCACAATCACTGACATGCACCAGCAACCACAATTTGAGATAAATAATATTATTTTTGTTGTATTTGTAGTCTTAAGCAACAAAAACAACATTATCATTTTCATTTTTATTTTTGTAAGATTTGGATGTCTAAAAAAAAAATTACTTGGCTTTTTGAGGGGGTTCCAGGAACATAACCCTATTTTTTCCCTAAGTTCTTCAGTTTATATAACACAGATTTATCTAACAAGGCATTTTCATGGGCATAACTACCATGTAATATGAGGGTCTACTGAAAATGAATACAAGTTTATCCTATCAAGGTTTGATGACCACTGACTGCAAAATAATGGATATTTTGTCAAAAAATTTAAATTTTGGTGATAGGCAGGAAACAATCTGAAAAATTGCCGTTTTCAATTAGCGTGGTAATCGATATACTTTTCCCAGTCATATTTACCAAAGAATTTACAGTAACTCCCCTCGACTCACAAACATGTTGGAAATCTTCTGTATTGTGTGTAATATCATTATTATACACAATTCAGGAGGTCCCTAATGCGTTTGTAATTCAAGGACTTATTGTATTATGTAGATTAGTTTTATGAGAGCACTGACTGTGTTTGAAAACAGCATTATCTTGTGTTCTTATTGCCTATGTGTGTTGAGTCTTGAGTGATCCTTTACGATGAAGGTTGATCTACAACTCAGGTATGTGCGGTACAAGCAGACTTCCCTGGAGAAGAACTACCGATATGAGGTTCTGACTGAGCACGACCTAGGCGTGACCATTGATCTCATCAATCCAGAGGCCTATACTCCAATACCCGGGACGCAGCTCCACCCCACTGATGAACGATTGCTTGAAGATGACATACTCACTCCACAGGTGTGCCACGATGTCATCAGTCTTGTTTTAAGTAATAATAATAATAATAATAACAATATGTTATTTCATGTAAACTGTATTACCAGTATACTGCAGACTAGAAATAAATTTATTGTTTTTATTATGGGGAAGTGGAGAGAATTCTTCGTCCATAAATCATGTTGTAAGAGGTGACTAAAATGCCAGGAGCAAGGGGCTAGTAACCCCTTCTGTATACATTATTCATTGTAAAGGAAGATTATTATTATTATTATTCTAATCAAAACCAAGCACTAGGGTCATACAGTGCTGCTGTAAAAAGAAGATAAACTTTTGTTTCTTCGTTTTTGGGTCACCCTGCCTGGGTGGGAGACAGCCTGATATTAAAATAATAATAATAATGATGATGATGATGGGTGCAGATGTGGTTGTGAATGCCATTTGAATTGTAAGTACAGACAGGTTAGAAAACTTTGACAGAGGGTCATATATAGTGTGATGCCAACACACTTTTGCCTAGACAGACATTGAATGAATGATGGCGAATGTCTTTCTTTGTTTTTTGGAGGGTTGATAACCAAATCTCAGTGAAAAAACTACCTCTGGATAGGAAAACTATAGGCGAGTATGGTTAGGTTGTGTGTCTGGCATTTAGTGGATGGAGGATCAAGCCTTCAACATTCAGTGTATTCATGACCCTTACATGTTGACCTCTTCATGAATATATGTGAGCTTATTTAAGTACAGGTACACATAAGTACAATTATCATATTTTATTTTTATTATCACACTGGCTCATTCCCACCAAGGCAGGGTGGCCCGAAAAAGAAAAACTTTCACCATCATTTACTCCATCACTGTCTTGCCAGAAGGGTGCTTTACACTACAGTTTTTAAACTGCAACATTAACACCCCTCCTTCAGAGTGCAGGCACTGTACTTCCCATCTCCCATCTCCCATTATCATATATAGTAACATATGCGCTAAGGTCACGGTAAAAAAGTGATATCACAGTATTCATAATAACCACTGTGAAAAAATAGTGAAATTCCAAGTGTTTTTGTGAGGATAGAAACATTGAGCGTGCTTCCTGACACTGGTTGTCTGTGTTCCCTATCAGTAAAATGGATACCTGGATATTAGTGGACTGGTGTGGGTTGCATCCTGTCACAAAATTGACCAAATTTGCCCAAAATGCTCTGCATAACAAGTGGCTTTCTATGTAGTAGTATGTCATTGATTTCAACTATGTCTGTTTACCTTGTACATATACTTGTAGAAAAAAAGATATTATTATTATTATTATTATTATTATTATTATTATTTATTATTATTATTATTATTATTGTGGTTTCTCACATTATCAAGGATAATGTGAGAAGTCCTTGATAATGTGAGAAATCCTTGATAATGTGAGAAATCCTTGATAACGTGAGAAATTCTTGATAATGTGAGAAATTATGAAATCGCTTGGAATTTCAGTAGTCTTTACTCTGGTTATTTTGCATGTGGTAGCATATGTAAATTACCCTCCGGGGTAACCCAAAAAAAGTCAGATAAAGGGACTTATTTCCATTGGGGTCCTGTAAGAGATCTCTATTTTATAAATGGTTTCTACTACATTTCAGCTTACAAATACGTACTTGTTTGTAGACAACGACAGTGCGATCATGCATCACTTAATGTCGGGGATACGTTCTGAGAAGTGCGTTGTTGTTGTGTGAATGCCATAGAGTGTACAGGAGGGCCCCACTTATATGGCGGGTTAGGTTCCAGGCTACCGCCGTAAAGCGGAAACCACCGTAAAGTGGAACACCCTTTTTTTCCACTTACAAATGCATACAAACACTAGATAACAAGTTTACACTAACATATATTATGTTAGCAATAGAACCAGGCATCAAAAAACAATAAAAAAGTACAATACACACATAGTGCACTCATTACTTACCTTAAAATATTTATAGTCTTAATCTAGGGTGAGACAAGTAGTATTTATTGTAAGAAATCAAGTGTGGTATGTATGGTAGTTCAGCCAGGCTACCATACCAGGCCAACCCACCCACACATACTATTCTATGATATTTAAGCATCCCAGAGCGATAAAATGTATATACAGTTCACTCATTACTTACCTTAAAATATAGGGTGAGATGAGTAGTATTTATTGTAAAAATCAAGTGTGGTATGTATGGTAGTCAGCCGGCTACCATACCAGGCCAACCCACCCACACATACTATTCTATGATATTTAAGCATCCCAGAGTGATAAAATGTATATACAGTTCACTCATTACTTACCTTAAAATATAGGGTGAGATGAGTAGTATTTATTGTAAAAAATCAAGTGTGGTATGTATGGTAGTCAGCCAGGCTACCATACCAGAGAGAAAGAATGAGTGCATGAGAGAGGACAGGCGCAGAGTTATGTAAACAAACCAGGTGAAGGTAAGTTTTGTAAACAGTGTACACGTCTGGTTTGTGTACAAGTTACATTGTGTGCAGGTTGTCTCTACATTGATACGGTAAATAAATAAAGAAAGAACACTCCCATTCTCATGTAACATCATTTTGAGAAGAAATGATGCTCTGAGTGAAGGCAATGGAAATAAGTCCACTCTGACTTTTTTGGGTTATCCTAGGTTCTCTACACATATGTTGTTATGCATTTATGTTATGTATCGTGTTTATTATATAATTTTGAAAAAAATATCATGGATGGATTAATGAAAATGTGTATATTAACATAATATACAACATTTAATGATACACCGAGCTCAGACAGCGTAAACAAACAAACTGAACAGGTTGTGGACGATCACTCAGTCAGCAAAATAGACGGTATTAATACGTGTCAGTTTTAGTTCATTCATGTACATTTGTAAGAGTTTGTGAAACTTGTTACTTATTAATATTTTTATTATTATTATAATAATTAAATCACGAAACAAATACTCTTACACTGTGTACAAGTTAGTACAGAATTATAGCTATAAAGTGAAGGCATACGAAAGGAATATTTTTCTACAGTTATCCCTAGTAACAGGTGACGGGCTAGAGAAAACGTAATTCTTCCGACACTTCTACAAACCGTTTGGTAAACATCTCATATATATTTGTATAAATTTTTATACTGTGGGTGCATGTATCATGTTTGTGTGTTACATAATGTGTGTCTTATATAATTTTGAAAAAAATATCATAGATAGATTAAGGGAAATGTCTATATTAACGTAATATGCGACATTAATGCGCCCAAGAGATTATTATTACTATTATTATTATTATTATTATTATTATTATTATTATTATTATTATTATTATTATTATTGCATCAAGAGTAGAGAGACTCTTAGTGATTTTAATGTGTACCTACATGCCAGCACAGTGTGTAAGTTTATTTAGGTACAGGTGTACACAAGTTTAATTATCAAGTACAATACATATAAAATATACAATAACTTTAAAACACTTGAAATTTTGGAAAGTTTCCAGATATAATAAGGAGATGTGCTCAGGGAGAATGTAAACAAACACGGTGGGCCGCTGTGACCGTATTAGAAAGACAGGTGGGGGGAGCCGTATAGCGAGTTTTGGTCATAATTTGAAATGTCCATATTAGTGGAACGCTGTAAAGCGGGGCCCTGCTGTACTTAGACAAAACTAGATGGTATAGCCTAGTACACACCTAGTCTATATGGTATAGCCTACTACACAGCTAGGCTATATGGTATAGCCTTCTACACACCTAAGCTATATGGTATAGCCTATTGAACCTAGGCTTCAAACATTAGGGGCCTTGATGAACAAAACAACACAAGATTAAATCCAACACAAGGGGAGTGATACCGTCAAGAGATACAGTAAACACGCAATGTACAAGGCCTGTTTCACATTGATCAATATTTTTGCAGTACATTAAGTCCTTGACTTAAAAACACATTGAGAATCTTCTGTATCGTGTATAGTATCATTATTATATCATTATTGTGGGCGAGGGGCTTGGACTTCCAGCAAGTGTGTGTGAGAGTGTTAGATAGGAGTGAATGGAGACGAATGGTTTTTGGGACCTGACGAGCTGTTGGAGTGTGAGCAGGGTAATATTTAGTGAAGGGATTTAGGGAAACCAGTTAGCTGGGCTTGAGTCCTGGAAATGGGAAGTACAATGCCTGCACTTTAAAGGAAGGTTTGGGATGTTGACAGTTGATAAATTAGACACATGTGCAACTCTTGGGTATCTTTATTGAGGAAATGTTTCGCCACACAGTGACTTCATCAGTCCATACAAAGGAGAATCGTGAAGAACAGGAGAAGAATGAGGTAATCAGTCTCTCAACCTTGAGTCGATGTGGTCAGTCCATCAATCTTGAATAGAATGCAGCATATCTGCGGAGGAGTAGCTTATATTGATCAACAAACAAAGAAAGATAGTAGAGGGCAATGAGTGACTAGCTCGCTTAAGGTTTACTATACAAATAGGAGTCTAAGAAATAAGATAGATGAGCTAAGATTACTTGCAAGTGCAGGTAATATAGATATTATTAGTATAACAGAGACCTGGTTCAACCTGAAAGATAGAGAAATGACTTCTGAATGCATAGGGTCAACAGGAAGGGTGGTGGAGTGGCGATGTAAGTCAGAGAAAATTTAAATTGCTGTCTTAGACATGATATAAGATTAGAAACATTGAACACAGAATCTGTTTGGCTACAGTTTCTCAAGGGACGTGACAAATTAATTTTGGGTGTGATTTATAGGCCCCCAAACCTTGATATGGGGTGCAGTAAGCTGTTATGGGCCAAAATTCATAAGGCGTCTAGATATGAAAATGTTGTGATAATGGGAGATTTTAACTTTAGACAAATTGATTGGAACAATGTGACAGGAAATCTTGAGTCTAGTGACTTTCTTGATATGGTTCAGGATTGCTTTTTAGAACAGGTTGTGACAGAACCAACTAGAGGAAACAATGTGCTTGACTTGGTTCTTGCCATCAAAGATTCACTAATTAATAATCCTGA